TGAATGGTGCATCGGGGGAATTAACGCCGCCGCTGTTCACGAGCTCGAGCAAACGCGCCATTCACGATGGCAGGCGACGACAGACGAAAGAAATCCTCGTGCCATCTGCGTCAACTTTTTTTCGCGGCCTCCACTCGCAAGGAAATCCCAATGTCCCAGATCGACTCAGTGCGAGGTTCATCAGGCCGCTAATAGCGTCGAGAAAATAAATACCGGTGACGACGCACCGCCAACGGCGGCTGGAATTTGCAGACGCCCAGAAAGGGTTGTCTCGGTAAGAGCGGAGGAGTGACAATTTATCACGTTTCCCGGACGAGGGGAGCCCTCTCACTCGCTCAGTTTCGGAGTGTTTACCCTCGGTGGGTGGACACGGCTCTCGGCTCGGCTCTCAACCCAAGAGACGGCCTCGAGGGAGACGCTGACCCTGGCTGGCTGGTCCAAAATGCCGAATGTTGACTCTGAACGGCCGAGATTGACGGGCAAATGGTGCGAGAGAGCGGAAAAATTATTGACCGGGGGATGAATCGCTAAGTCCTTTGAATCGCTCCGGCTAAAGTTAATTGATCGCAGGACGAATCCAGCGACTAATCACTTTTCTCCTTCAGCTTAATTGCTTTTACACCGGCATTAAACTCACTAAATTTCTTGGAGCAAGGTCTCACTCAGAAGGGGAGAAAATTCACCCCGAGCGATAGTGCGAGTACTGTCTCGGAATCGCGGCACTGAGTATGTTCAATTGAAACTTAGATAAAATTCTTTATTCATGCGAATTAATCTTTTAATTGGTTAGAGCGAGTCCGTCTCTATGACGGTGGAACAAGATAAAAGCTACAATTCCCGGACGTGTACCTAATTTTGGATATTCTCATTGTTTTGGCATGTAAATACGAATGTTTAAACTTTCAACATAGAATATATGCATATATTCAATATATGTACATATATATATATATATATATATATATATATATATATATATATATACTACTGTGTTCAAAAAGTAAGACCAGTTTTTATTTATTTAAAAAAATATTTATTTATTCTTCCAAATCTATTTCGTCGCCTTCAAAGTAATCCCCTCCCGACACAATACACTTATGCCAACGTATTTTCCAGTCCTCGAAACAAGAATTAAAGTCGCCTTCCGGGATGGCTTTCAGAGCGCGTAGCGATTCACGTTGTATCTCTTCTATCGTCTCAAAACGATTTCCCCGCAGTGGTCTTTTGAGTTTCGGGAATAGCCAAAAGTCACACGGTGCTAAATCAGGCGAATACGGTGGTTGTGGAACGATATGGATCGAATTTTTGGCGAAAAAGTCATGAAGAACAGTGCAGTGTGAGAAGGTGCATTTGGCACTAGTCGAGATTTTACACGTTTCAGGCCCAAAATATCTTTCAAAATGGTATTGGCAGATCCTTTCGAAATACCAATAGCATCAGCAAGGTCTCTAACAGTCATTCGATGATTAGCAAGCACAAGTTCTTCGATTTGCTTGACGTGTTGTTCATCGGTAGAGGTTGATGGTCGTTCAGAATGCTCTTCGTCTTCAACACTTTCACGACCTTCTTTGAACTGTTTATACCACTTGTAAACATTCCTTTCCGACAAAACATGGTCCCCGAAGGCTTTCTGCAACATCCTGAACGTTTCTGCACCCGAAATTTCATTCCGCAAACAAAATTTAATGCAACTTCTTTGCTCAATATAATTAGACATTGTAAAAATCGCCGAATGCACTTTTAGCGTCATACAAAACCTTTTAGCGTAAAGCAAAAAGTAATGAATGTTTTGACATGAAATTTGTCACAGATGTCTGTCACAATGCTGCCAACTTAGAAAAAAAATATTTATGATTTGCGGTTTACCCGCGCGATTTAAATTGAAAACTGGTCTTACTTTTTGGACACAGTAGTATATATATATGCTCTTTTATATTGTGTGGAAATTTAAATATTATTAAATATTTAGGAAATTTAAATATTATTAAATATTTAGGGACCAAAAAAAGACAAAATAAGAATTTCCAGGCTTATGTACGTGTGCAGACATTGATGCTTTTACCTCATATTGGACACCCTCTTCAATTTCGAACGAAAATATTCCCTCGACGGTTCAGGGAGGAAAAGTCACTCTGCCAAAAGTCATGAAGCCACTAAAATTCGAGTGACTCGGCTGTAACGTTGCTTTTCAGGACTTCACTCGAAGAAATTTGGGGAAATGCTATATTTGAATAACTAGATGGCGATCTGAAGGATGCGCGATCCGGAATTATGGATGAAATGAGCGGAATCGAACGGCGCGTCACGTTGAATCAGCGGACATGATTTGTCCTGCGAGGGTGGTTGGCGAAAATCGACCCGATGCAACCAACGGAATTTCACGACGAGTCGCCCGATGGCAAGCCACCTATGCTGCGATGCGTCGCAGCAGATCCTTCGCGACGTGATGAAATTAGCGAGCAACCGAAATAATTTAGTGGATTCCAGGCGGCCGCGCGCGTATCGCCTCGCACAGCTGTGACCCTGAATTCCATTATAGTCCACTCAGGAGGAGGGGGGGGGGGAAGGGGAAGG